CACGTGGGTCTGAGGCGGCGGTCACGTGGGTCGGATGCTCATTAATTATACATAATTTTAGGCTTTTAATACACTTAAAAGAAGAGTGAGAAAAAAATTCACCCCTCTCAGAGTTGTCATGAGTCTATACTAGATAATTTAAACAAAAAACATGTTTTGGTACTAGGCTGTAAACATGTTTATTTCTGCTGTGAAATTGGTATTTTTAACATGGGAGTCAATGAGGATTTGCTCGCTTCTGACACCAGCCCCCAGCGATGAGAGTGGAACTGCAATTTATGGTACTTCCGGGTTGAGACCAATTTTAGAGCCGCATGGTGGGGGCTTGGTCAAGACAGAAGTGACAAGAACTGAAGTTCCCCCCTCATCCACTAGGGGCTGGCACCAGAAGGAGCAAGTTTGTCGATGGTTCCCGCTGTCACTCATGTTAAAAATGCACTGCAGAAATAAACATGTTTACAGCCTTGTTCAAAAACATTTTCGGTCAAAAGTTGCAATGGCAAATCTGCAAAACAAGCTAGCTTTTAAACACGAACACACTCTCACGCCACTTAATTTTCCCGGGCCACATCCACCAGAGACTAGAACCTGCGTTGCTACAGAAAACGAGAGAGCACTGAAGACAGTGGCGGTTCTTCATGGAATTACTCCCTGGGCGAGGCCCCCTTTGAGCGCCCCCCACCACCACACCACCTCACCTGCACGAACACACGCATGTTTTCTACAAACAGGCATGTTTTATTAGAACAACTATTGAACATTCATTTTTCTAAGTTGCACATATTTACATTAATTACTATGAAATTGTTACAATGTAAAGCAATATACATTATATATTGTATTCACAATGTTGAATCTCAGATAGAGGAGGAGCAATGTGGTTTTCGTGGACCAGCTCTATACCCTTGCAAGGGTGATGGAGGGGGCATGGGAGTTTGCCCAACCAATCCACATGTGCTTTGTGGATTTGGAGAAGGCTTATGACCGTGTCCCCAGGGGCACCCTGTGGGGGACGCTCCAGGAGTATGGGGTGGGTGGCTTTCTGTTAAGGGCCAATCAGTCCCTTTACCAGAGGAGCGTGAGTTTGGTCTGCATAGCCGGTAGTAAGTCGGACCTGTTCCCAGTGAGGGTTGGACTCCGCCAGGGCTGCCCTTTGTCACCGGTTCTGTTCATCACTTTTATGGACAGAATTTCTAGACGCAGCCGTGGTGTGGAGTGTGTCGAGTTTGGTGGCAGGAGAATCTCGTCTCTGCTTTTTGCGGATGATGTGGTCCTCCTAGCTTCATCCAGCTCTGACCTTCAGCTCTTGCTGGGTAGGTTCGCGGCCGAATGTGAAGCGGCTGGGATGAGGATCAGCACCTCCAAATCTGAGACCATGGTTCTCGACCGGAAAAGGGTGGCTTGCCACCTCCGGGTCGGGGGAGAGGTTCTATCTCAAGTGGAGGAGTTTAAGTATCTCGGGGTCTTGTTCACGAGTGAGGGTAGGAGGGATCGGGAGATCGACAGGCGGATTGGTTCGGCGTCTGCAGTGATGCGGACGCTGAGCCGATCTGTCGTGGGGAAGAGGGAGCTGAGCCAGAAAGCCAGGCTCTCGATTTACCGGTCGATCTACGTCCCAATCCTCACCTATGGTCATGAGCTTTGGGTAATGACCGAAAGAACGAGATCGCGGATACAAGCGGCCGAAATGAGTTTCCTCCGTAGGGTGGCCGGGCTCAGCCTTAGAGATAGGGTGAGGAGCTCGGACATTCGGGAGGGACTCGGAGTAGAACCGCTGCTCCTCCGGATCGAAAGGAGCCAGTTGAGGTGGTTTGGGCATCTGGCCAGGATGCCTCCTGGACGCCTCCCCGGGGAGGTGTTTCGGGCATGTCCTGCCGGCAGAAGGCCCCCGGGTCGACCCAGGACACGTTGGAGAGGTTACATCTCCAATCTGGTCCGGGAACGCCTTGGGGTCTTGCCGGAGGAGCTGGTGGACAAGGCCGGGGAGAGGACGGCCTGGAGCTCCCTAGTTGGGATGCTGCCCCCGCGACCCGGACCCGGATAAGCGGAGGAAGACGAAGACGAAGACGAAGACAATGTTTTTCCTGCATTTTGAGGTCATTTCTGGATTTCTTGATGCAGGTTTTGCTTTTCCTGCTCAAAACAAAAAAGTAAAAGGCACTGATTGTGACATCAACATGGTGAACATGTATATGGAATACAAACACCATAGTGACGTCTAGTGTGTGGAGGTTGTAGTTGCAACAATAGAACAAAGTATTTAGCCATCAGGATACCAGGTTTGAAATTTTTTTATTTGGGTCCCTTGGTTGTAGACATCACCCAAACCCTGGTTTTAGATCTTTTATGGTCGCTCCTCTTCTGAGAAGGTCAACAACATCTTCTGGGTTAAAAAAACAACTGCTTGACTTGCCAAGTCCACCATTTTCCACAGGGCCAGTCTCGCTGGGCCAGGCGGACTCTTTGGCAACACACAATGGTGCCCTCTACTGGCTGCTAGATAAACAAACCTAGTGTCGTACCTGTCGAAATAAATATTAGATTTTTAAAATTCAGTTTTAGCTTTCAAAGGAAATACTGTACCCCATTCTGCCCACTTCTAAACGTCCCATGGAGGTATTATTTTAAAAGAAAGATTTTTATTAAATTGTTTCAAATTCTACCTTTAATATGCATATTTTCTGAATCCTATGTCATAATGTGTGTAGTGAAAAGTATTTTATGGAGCATCTCACAACCCCCACCACCTCATCATTTTGAAATGTCTCACCATGAGGTTAATCTGTCTCGTCTGGATGTGCATACTGTTAGTGAGATGTGGGGTATTATTTTGTAGCCGGAAATGTCATTGCTTGGCCAGAAATAAGTTACATCATGAAAGTTAATGGAAAGGGCTCAGTTAAAGATTCTACGTTTGTCATCTTTGAATGTGAAGCTGTGACCTTTTGAGCTGTGAATCAGATTATTTCATGTTTGCAGACATGTTCCCTTTAATCAGCCGGAAACCTAAGTTGAGGAAAACCTGTAATGCTGTGAAACGTAAAAGCATCGCCCAATTACATTTAAAACCAACAATGATAAACTCGAAACATTTTGTGTTGAAAATTTATTAAAAGTCAAAGTCACAAACATCTCCGGATCCACTATTTGGGCTTATAATAAACGTGGTTGGCAGTAAAACATATTTAACATCTGTTCTGTATGGGGTGCTGACCGCCATACATTTTAGGAAATATTAATGTACAGATGTTTTGCCATGTTTAGCTTCTCATAACAATTAATATACATTTTCAAAATCACTTTATTGCCACTTTTAAAGTTGAAGTCCCATGAGAGCCTAATGCGAATTATAAAATGAAACACCACTTTAATGTCAATCAAAAACAATTATTGAAACAATTCAACCACCTGAGCAGCAGTTTAGAACAAACATCTTATTTAAAGAAATCACAATGTGTTGGAAGTTCTCAGTCATCCAGGTCATGGTAATCCAAAGGGGTTCAAACAAAGGCAAATTAACTTCTTTTTTTCCTTGAAAATATTTTGTTTCTCATCTGAGAAGGTAATAAAACCAAATAGTAAAGGAACTGACAACAGGTGCATATAGCTTTATCATCCCATCATTTATGCAGTCCAATGGAGTGAGGACTGTCCAGATCTTTGTATTGAGGAAACTAAACAATTACACAAATGCATGTCACAACACAGCAGAGCCACCTCCTTTGGTCAAGACTGTAGTCCACGTACAGCTGAAGGACAAGGGACACACTTTTGAAGATGACAAAGTACACATTTTGGACAGAGAAGGTGATTTGAGAGATGAGTAAAGGAAGTTATCTATGTCAGACGTGAAAACCTCACTTTAAATAGGGGAGGAGGCCACGTGTTTCACCTTTCTACCACCTATATTGCAGCTCTGATTCCCAAACAGTTTCAGTCTAGGTCACACCCTCCTGCATCTAATCAATACAACGACTTCCACACAGTAGAGGCTAATGACCCCGAAGACTCATCAGGGGGTAGGGAGGAGGGGCATTCATACTTAGTTTCTGCTCATTGAGAAACATTAGCTGTTTTTACATGACCATAGCGTTTGCAAAAACTGATTTACCGCAGCTCCCTGGGGAGGATTTTGTCATTTTATAGTAGCAAAGCTGAAACTAGAATAAACTGCCATCAGGCACCTCTCAAACCAAGACAGGATAAAGAGCGGTCACTGACGTACAGGGTCACACTTTCAGCATCAGACGGAAGACAAGTCAGACTGCTGAATTTTTTTTCTGGACCTTTAGCTTTGATGTGACCTGCTTTTTGTCCCGCTTTACGCCCCGCTCAGCCAGTGTTTCCACCACTCTGTCGAACAGCTGGCTGTCTCTCACCGTCCCCGTAAAAAGGCGACTAATCTGTTCGCCTGCTCGCACAGCCAAAAGCTCCTTGGTCTCCGCATCCGTCCAGTTTGCCATGTTGTAGGTGGTTGAAAGATACTAGTGAGAGGCCATGTTTATCTGTGTCTATATTCTTTCCGGCCAGCACTCGGCGCTCAGTATACGTCACTAACGGGACGACCCTCTTTTGTGGGGAGGCCTCTCACAGTCGCTCGAAAGGGATTAGCGGGGCTAACATGCGTTTAGCCATCAGAGGAGAGGAGCTCATGCGGCAATATTACGAGGCTAAGCACATCAGAATCAAGTTTTATCACCTTTCCCCTTTGCTCCTTGCCGCATTTACGAGACCCACAAATTCGGATTTATCACTCTGTAATGACGCGATGGTCTGTCTTATAAAAGAGACTATTGACTCTCCCATTCTAGTAAGAACTGACAAAGTTTCTCAGATGAGAAGCAAAACAACTTCAAGAAACCAAAGTCCAGTTGCCTTTATTCAAACCCCTTTGAAATCTTATGTTGATCCAAGAAAAAATGCTTCTGTAGTAAATAAACTAAAATAATCAAAGGAAAACATGGTGATTTGTTGCTTTGAATGAAACAGAAATTACCTCATGAATTTATAAAAATCAGATTTATTGAAATTGCAGAACATGTATTTAATGAAAGTTATCGTGTCTGTATTCCTCCTAAGCTACATGGTCTGCACTCACAGCTGGTGATGTGATTGTAAGTATATTTTCTGGTGATGAGGTCCAAACAATTCAGATAAACAACTCTTTTCTCTGAGCTCCGTTACTGACAGCATCTGCAGTCCTGCTCCACACTAATGTCGCTGCTGAACCTGAACCTAATAGAAGAGAGACGTGACTATTAACTGGATGTCTTACATATTGATTGCTTGTAAACTGACGGGTAGTGGTATACTTACCTGGGACTGGAAAAACAGAGGCCATCGCACACAGAAATGTTCAGAACAGTGGAGCATTTCTCAATAGTGAGGTTAACTGTGGCCATTCTGGGTGTACATGTCTGGTTGCCTAAGGTTTGAGGGAAAGAGCAACAACAAAATGACTTATGAGGGTAATTTAAAAATCTAATAAAAAAAAACAATACTTACAGGCAAAACAGCAGTGGTCATCGTCCCAAATTTGGCCCTCCTGATGAACAATATTTACACAGATCATGATTACCTTTTGTTTTTTATACACACCTTTCTTCTTAAACTTTAAAGTAATTTGTGTTTTTATTACCACAAAAGTCTCTATTAATTCGGCAATACAATTAAAATGCTATTTTTTCCACAGTTAATGAAGGGAGACTTAACTGTTTTGGCCTGCTTTTTGCACCACCTAGTGTCCGTAAGTCAAACCAAAAGTGAACCTTATCTCCTCTCATTGAGTTTGTCCTTTTCACAGCTGAAATGTCTCCTCAGCATTCATTACTTCTACAGGAGTGACTCATCCCTTAAAACAAATCAGCTGTGTTGATGATCTAATATACAGGAAACATTCTGGTAGCAGACTGCAGAACCTGGTATGTCAGCTTCACTTTTACTAAGTCCAACAAGGAGCAGCCACTCTGATCAGACTATTGCAATTGCAACTTCACAGGGAGCTGAGTGACATTTCATTAACCCTGTACAAAGGTAATTTTAGTACAAACTGCCTCAAGAAAATTTAAAAAATACGAAAAAAAGTTTCATAGCATGCCTTTAAAAAGGGAACTAGGCAGTTTTGACTTCCTTTTAGCAGCCCCTAGTGTCAGTTTGTAGAACTGAAACCAAAGTGAATCTCTTCGCTGTGCGTTTGTCTTTTTAACACCTTAAACAGTTGAAATGTCTCCTTGCCTTCCTTACGCCTACTGCACACTGAAAGCAAAAGCGGTGCGGAACGGCAGCTGAACGGTTTACTCGCAACAACCATTGCACTGAAGCGCACACCAGGAGAGTCTCAGCAGCGAAGCGGTTTCTCTGGCGTGCTCCTCGCCCTACTCGCGAGATCACACAATCCCTTGAGACTTCAGAGATTACGGTTTGTTTATGCAATCCGCCATTAAACCAAAAAGAAGTAAATCACGTTTGATATCACGGTTTGATGTCATGTATGATAAAGTTCCGCTCCACTGCCAAGATTAAAGACATGATAAACACACCGCTGCACTTCTGGAACGATGCTGTGAGCTTACGTGCGAGTTAGGCTTCATATATATGAAATTACTTAACTGCAATATGGTTATTTAGATAATTACCGAGGATTTTTCACTCAAGCCGTGTGCGAGTTCCTGTACTATGTCGATTGCGGTAATTGACGCATCCAACAAGCGGCGCGGCGTGCCACTTCTGGGCCACCTCTGAAAATTGCCACATCGCGGCTGGTTTGTTACGCTCCATCGACTATAATGGCTTCTATTTGCAGCAGTGCCGTTCCGCGCCGCTTTTGCTTCCAGAGTGCAGTAGGGGTGAGTGTCTACAGGAGTGATTCATCACTAAATGTGTTCATGATCTAAAACAAGCAGGAAAAGTGCTGGAGCCAGATTGCAGTGCCAGGTCCCAACAGACGGCCCGCAGTCTGAAGTTGCAAGTGGAATAATCTGACCACAGTGGGCGGTGGGGGCTGGGTGGCCATTCATTAACCCTGTAAAGGGTCATTTTAGAACATACCGGCTCAAAAAACGATTATATATATATAAAAAAAACACTAATTTGCAAAGTATCCCTTTAAATTAAAGATAATTTTAGCATTGTGTAATTTAGAGAAACTGGGATGTCGGGAAATATTTTCCATCAATATCTGTAGCTATATCAAGAATTTAAACATTGTCACACTAATTATGATTGAATGTTAACAAGTTTCATAACTAGAAGTTGGCAAAAAACCAGAAGAGGAAGAAACAAGTTTATTTGTATAGAGCCTTTGAATGTGTGCTTCATAAGTACAATAAAAAATAAAAATAACCTTGGGACAGCTTTCTATGGGACAGACTCTCCTCTCAGTCTGAAGGCCTTCTGTGGTGCATCTGAATGATGTGCAGGGCTTAGTCGCATCTTTCCATTTGTCTCCCACCTACACACACAAAGAGATGGAAAAATGGGAGACTGAAATATATAGTCACCTATTTTAACAGTTACAGGATAAGACATGATTAAACCTAACTTACTTTGTACGTTTTTCCTTTATAAGTGCAAGTCTTCTCAACTGAAAAACAAGGAAAAACTTGAGGATGCAAGGAATCATTGGAGTGATTGTTTTTGTTTTTCTACTGCACCTGAGTTTAATTCAATGTGATGTGTAATATTAAAACAGAAGTTAATTTTCACTGGACAGACAAGTTTAACCTAAGTTTCTCCATGAGGAAGAACAATCAAGCTTAAATATTGTTGGAAATCCTAGAATAGGCAATAAATAATTATGTTTATATGTAAAGAATCATGGAGTTTGTACCATTTGGATCTAATCTTGAACATAAATCATGCAGTGTTGTGGCATAAATATAGTATGGGATAATATTTTGTGTGTGTTAAGGTTGATCCCTGCATTGGGACTGAGGTCTCACAAGATCCACAGATTTGCTCGACACCCAGTTTGTTTACAAAATAAAATTACATGAAAAATGGAATCAACGATTTCTCTGTTCTTACCACAAACTGGATCGCCACAACACGTGGTGTTTACTAAAACCGTTTCTGGAGCACATACAGGTGTTGGAAAACGAGGTTTTGGAATGCACTCCTCGGTCAAGGTCTGGACGTTGCAAGTACAGATGTGGCAGTCAGACTCCCACACATCACCAGGCTGAAACACAGACGCAGAATTTTTTTTCTTAGTCTTGTAAATGGCTATGAAAGACCAAAGACTGGCTGTAATTGATCTGTGAGGTGGGCGATGGTTGGTCAGTTTTAACATCCACGAGAAAACAAATGTTTACCAGTTTCGGTTCACCAAGTGGTCCTTTGCAAACTGAAGGAAAAGAAATATTTTTTACTAATTTGTAACTAACCTTAAAAACGTTCAGTCGATCATGCCACGATACTCACAAGTGCATTCTTTCATACAGGTATTTGAGTATGTTCCAGCACGAACAAGCCCACTTGGACAGAAACAACCAGAGCTGCTCTTTGTGAGATCAGATCCTGGGTGACGAATTCTAAAAGCCAAACCAGAGGGGAATTCGAAATGTAAAATCTCTTGGTGATCTCAAAACCTTACTAGCAAGTGAAAGAACACAAAATGACACTAGAAAGTAAAATGGAACATTTCCAAACCCTCCGTAGCAGAAGTCATCGAGCTGGTTTCGACATTCATGGAAAACCAATCCTTCTGGACATTCAACATCTGAAGCATCAACAAAGAATGACAATCATGAATCCATGCGTCTGCTTGGCTGTAATAAACACACAGGAGAATAAACAGTGCCTACCACAGATGCCATTAGTTAGTCCTCTCCAGTCAACACAGAAACCAGCATTTTTACATTCCTCTGCAGCTTGACTTAAGGAAGAGCACGAAGCATTTTGGGTTGTGCACGAATCAAACTCGCAGTTCTTCTTTTTAACAACCATATCCACAACTTTTCTGCAAGTTGCAAACACTCTGCAGAAAAAAGAACCATCTTATTAAGATGATGAGCATTGTTTTAAATACACTTTAAACAACCACCACTAGATTTGCCATCAACTGTGACTCAATCCAGAGCACCCGAGTGTGTGTGGAGCTTACAAATGGTTTAACAGGTTACACAGTGGGCTTGGAGAACAGGGAGGAGAGGGACTAGAGGTTGCAGTAGGCACAGGAGTAGGGGGAGGATGACAGGACACATTTCTTGGTGCAGAGAAACAAGCTGGCTTTGATGGGTCATCGTATAGCCAGTCATAGGCTGTCTTTCCACAGCAGGTATTGTCCTCAATCTGTCCTCCTCTACGGATGCACGACGCTCCACCACACACACCTGCAAAAGGGATAGTCGCACTACATTTTATCTAGATTATAAGTAGCCAAACAGGAAACTTTACTGGTTTTCTGCTCTCACCTCAAATTTTGGATTGATATTTGTAAAATCATGACTGTCAATATTGTTTTGGTTGATATTAGCATTAACTGGATTATTACCAAAATGTTTATTAGTTGTAGTCGATACACATCTAATAAAGACTGTTAGAGCCTGATTACAGTCTGTCCAGTGGGTTATCAAATATTTTGCTAACAGCCAAACAGTTGAAAGCAAAATTGCTACTGTGTGAAATGATCTTGTTGTAAGTGCTGAGCCAATGTATCAGGGATGACTCCCAACTACCACTATCCCAACATATTTGGTCAATGTCAGTAAGACAAGAGTCAAAGCCATTTTTAAGTTTGCAAAGATCAGTTGACTATGGCAGCCATCGTGCATTGGGTTGACTCGAAAATATAAAGCTTCCAGAAATGTTTCATTGAAATCAGCCTAGACAGTTGCCGTTTATAGATTTGATACTTTACTGATTTTTTACTTTCACAAAAGATGGCACGCAAAGTTGATGACCTTAAATAAATAGAAGAGCTGCATCTTTTGAATAGATTGTGACACAGATACAGTACCAATGTATGATATGGGGAAAGAAGAGAGGTTAACCCACTTCATTTGCCCATTTATGAATCTGGAGTCATCGGCTACCTACAGTATCTGAGCCGTGCGGTTTGTCACAATTTGACTTTTGACTCTGCTACCCTGTACACAGTAGCCATTTAGTGCATGGGGTAGGCAACCCTGGTCTTAGAGAGCTGCAGTCCTGCTTGTTATCCAACTACCTTTGTTGTTCCTGCTGTTGATTACTTGGATCAGGTGTGTTCAGCCCTTTAGAAGCTGCAAGTTCATGCATGGCTGGAAAACATGTAGGACTGTGGCTCTCTAGGACCAGGTTTGTCTCCCTACTTTTGTGGATGATTACGCCTGGGTACCATCACTTTGCATCCAGAACATACCACACTGTCCCTGTGTGTTGTTGAAGAAGTTCTCCATGGCAAGGTTGACCACCAAGGTGTAAAATGCAGACAAGGAAACATAAGATCGGATCTCTGGAAAATAGATGAAGACTTCATATCCTGTGGTTTGAAACCTCAAACCCCCTTTTTCAAATGGTGGCTGTATGGGGTTATTGTTGAAAGTAGCCTGAGGAGGATAAGATCAATATCAACCATACGTAGAAGTAAATAAAATTAGTTCTTTAAGATTTTAAAATACATACATCCTACCTCTACTGCATATGTATGCGTGTTGACTCTGAGTGATGCTGTACTGTTTTGATATGTTAGGAAAATGCCTCTGGTACAGGAACCTAGGAGGCCTGCCACACAGTAGAAAGTATCCACAGCAATAGTGAAATGATAACGTGGTGTCCGCTCCTCCACTAGAATGTAGGTGCAGTCATCCAGGAAGTCAAAAGGAACGCCTTGGAACGAGATGTAATGCGGGTCTCCATATAATTCACAGCGACCTGGGAATGGTGGAGTACAGATTCTTAAAATGCAAACAGATTTTCTAAATTCAACAGGGAAATGTTACTGCTGGTGTTAAACACCAGTGTATGCACTCACAATTGCATGCCCACGTTTCACAGCATCCACTTCGGACTTTTACGACTTGATTTCTGGGACAGATGGGAGCCACAGTTTCGGAACAAATCACCGGTGTCAAATAGATTTTCCCATTCACGCAACTCTGTTGAAAGCAGTCCTCTGTCCATGTCTCACCACAAGACCAGGACTTTTGCTTCATTAGGTCAATGCAGACACACGGCGTCACTATGGGGTTAACAGTAGAGTATAAGTCACAGAGAGAACCCAAGGCCTTGTATGGATTAGGCAGCGAGGATTAACGAACATCAAAACAAGACCTCACCAGCTGTTGTAGAGTATTGTGTTGTTGCTGATGTTTCAGACAAAGTTGTGACCTTAGCTGTTGTAGACATGGTCTGCTCAGTTGTGGATATCGCAGTTGTTGGCACAAGTACTCTAGATGTAACTAATGGACTTGTTGTTGCCGAGTTAGTGATGATGGTTGGGGTAGTTGATGTGGGATAAGATTCAGTTGAAACTTCTGTAGTAAATTCAGTACTTCTTGTTGTTGATGTGGGTTTTGTTGTAGCAGTGGTGAATACCGTACTTGAATAAGACGTAGTTGTTGGTACAGTGGGGCTGGTAGTAACTTCTGTAGTAAATTCTATGGCCATTGTCGTTGAGGTGAGTGGTGTAGTGGCTGTGGTTGTACTTGGATACGGTGTAGTTGTTATGGGAATGGTGGTTGCCAGGGTTGAGGTGGTTGGTGCATAGGTGGTTGTGGCCGCTGTTGTACTACTCGGAGATTCAGGTACTGCAGTAGAAGTAACAGTTGAGTTTTTAGTTCGAAGAAACATCTTGTAAAATTACACACACTTAACACTTGCTAAAAAGTTGATGCATCTCTGGATGGAATACTGTGATTTGCAAGAGCTTTTCAAGCTGTTGATGCAGCAGATTTATGCCATGATAAAGCTAAATATGGTCCACTAGAATATTTGAATGTGACTTTTTGAACAGTATGCCTCTCATCTATTTCTGTTTAATTATGAACCTGAACAGAAAGTTTATACTTACTGCAAATAAAAGTACCATTTTCACAGGTGCTTCATAGAGAGAAACAAAAGATTCAGCTGTTATTGCACAAGTCAATGCATTTTTCAGGATTTTACATAGCTCTTAACATATAATTGTACTTGCAAGAAATAGTAAACTTACCAAACAGAGTGTATGAACACTTTTCCACCAGGTGGAACAATAGTGTCATTGTAATAACAATAGCAGTTTCTCAGTTCAGTACATCTGCCGGTACTCTCATCATAATATGGCGTCTCCTCTGGACATCTTGGATAACAGCCTTTATTGGGAAAAAATATAATTTTGATGTGTTGGAGTGTCTTAAAACCATTTTTAATTTGACCCAAATCAGAACAACAAAGCAAGACATGTATTGGGCATTTGCTGTTTTAATACTAAAATTCAAAAATAAGACTGCTTTTAATCCTTGGATTAGAGTAAAATTAAAGGTGTGGAGCGCTCATTTAACCAATACAATTGCAGTGGTCTCTAGTAGGAATGAATGCCTTGTAAGCAGGGGGAAAAACAGGCGCTCCTGTTTAAGGAACTAGGAAGTTGCCTCATATGAGGAGAGCTTCAAAAGACAGAATTTGGAGTCTATTTGGACATCTTCAGATTGCATAACAGCTACACGACTCCACCACTAACTATTGGCTCTGCAACGCTGATGTTTCATCACCACAAATAACTCAGGCCTGAAGAAGTTGTGCCATGTTGTGGAGTAGCTAATGCTAATTGTTAGCTCCTGCTAGCTGACATGCTCTCCACCGTTTCCTGGGCTGTCGTGAGTCAAAATGGGTGACAGTTTGATTTAGATCAGTCAGGATTTTCAATTTCCTAGAGTTTCACTGTATTTTCTATCAGAAGCTAATGCAGGAGATAGGTGTTGGAGACTATTTTTCATGTACAGCCTACATGAAAAACAGAGTGACCGATTCTAATCAGAAATAATAAAAAAAACTTTCAATGTTCCATATATATATATATATATATATATATATATATATATATATATATATATATATTCTGAGAATATCTGTTTACCTTCCAGTTTTTTGTGGAAATAGTTGATTCTCCCACAAGTAAGCATCTGTCCACAGGCTTCATAGTGCCATGTACACTCCCCCTTCTTGTTATAATAATCACAGTAGACAGCTGGAGAGTACATGGTAAAGTGTTATAGTTGCACATCTGGTGAACACATATTTAAAAGTGTGACTAAGCTCTTACAACAAGCTATTGGTCTGACTGGTTGCAGGACAGTTTACCGTCACCTCCCCACAAACTGCCTGAATCATGACTTAAGTCAGCAAAACGGGTTCAAACTTACGACATAAATCAGGTGTCCTCCAGCTTATACAGACATCTTGCTCACTGCAGGCCTCAGCGTAGGCTGCCACAGCAGTGCAGAAGCCAAGGAACTTTCCTTCAAATTCACAGGAGCAGGATTCCTGCACACAGGCTTGGTAGTAGGGCTCTGGGTCCACCTGAGAATGCATAGAAAGCTATCATAATTAAAAACGACTTTGATGGGTTTAAAGATAGACGTGTAAACTATAGATGCATCCCAGATGGGCACATATAACAACAACCACATTTGAGGCAATAGAATATGTTTTAATGCCGACCGATAAGTGACAGTCCTTGAACGTGTCGCCTGTAAGGATCATACAGCGCCGCTGGGCCCAGGCGGCACAGTAGGAGTTGCGTTCACAGGGAAACATCTCTGTGGTCACATCAGAGCAAGGAGGAGTAACGGACTTCCAGCTGTTTCCAAAAGCTAGAGGACTGGCCACTGAAATCACAGTTTGGATTAACTTTAGTAACAGCTACAAAACTTACCCTGCTATGTAAAGTGATGACTAGTCACCTGGTGAGCCACTTATCTGGATGTCGTTCATCTCATTGGAGTCAAAATTCCCACAGAGGCCACAGACTTTGTTCTAGAGAAGGGGTGGAAAAACAATATCAGGAGAGTTGTGAGAGCAACAGAAAAAGAACAAGACAAAAAAAAAAAATGATCTGTATTGCCTTCAAACACACACACACGCCCCGCAGCACAGAGGCAGGGCTCCCATACACATGGGCAAAATGGAAGAACTATAACAAAATCATTGCTCACCCTCCAGTTAGGTTGCAGTTCTACAGTGAGCCTTGTGTGCTTGTCCCAAATGAGGGTCAGGCCTTTGCTCGGCACTGAAATGACGATGTAAAGTCCCACGGTGTGTGTGGTGTAAAGTAAATCTGCCTCCACAGTCCAACCATCCAGGACAAGTCTGGTCACCTTCATGTCACTCAGCGTTAGGGACAGTTTGTCCTGAGGGAGAAATAGAAGTCTTATTGATGAATAGGAACAGTGGATTTGTATCATCTCTGCAGCCATTGTTATGACTCATTCTATTGGCTCTTTTGGAACATACATTACAATAATGATGAACATTTATAATATTGACTCAAGCCTCTGTAGAATAGAATAATTTAAACCAGATGATGAAAGTAGTGAACAGTGTATGATATGGGTCGATTAGTGGTCCACCATCCGTTTACATCCTCAAAGGCTTCCACACCTCATGGAGTAAATGTTTTATTTGAGAATGAACTTTTATTCTGGGGATTTATTTTCACACCAAACCTTCAGTTTCTGTACCATATGTTTGTATTGGCTCTTGAGAAAACATGCTGAGGTTTATTTGAGGTTCAGTGATAATTTTTCCCTGTTAAAATGTGTCAATAAAATTTACAGTAGGAGGAGCAGCAGCTGTGTTACCTCCAGGTCCAGGACTATGGAGCGGGAACAGGTGAGTGCCTCATCACAGCAAGGAACGTTCTCCACTCTGACAGATATGGTCCCAACTGGATTACCACAGTAATCCTAAAAGAAAAGGATTGCAGTAATCGGTTTGCCAAATATAGCATAATGAAAATTTAATATTTTGCCAAAGTTTGCATAACTTCCGTTTCATTTTGTCTCCTCTGTTTTAACTTTTATTTAGGTTATTCACACAAAATGACGAGGTTGAGATCTCACCTCTACTAGAGTATACTGACAGTGTCCATCAAAGCGATACCATTTAGAGTCAAAGGTCTGATAATGGCCATTTCCATAAACTTGACACTTTCCTTCACATGGCTCATCTTTGCAGTTCCACTGGCCCTGATTACAAGTACTGGAAGGCAAAGTAGTTACAGCAGGAATGCCTGTATGCTTACAGGATCTATAGTTAAAGTAGCAACAGTTACCATGTTTTACAGTTGGTTTTGACGCTCTCTCCTGCTCTGAAAACTTTGCCGCTGTATGCACAGGTGCACTTTTGTCTGGGCACACATTCACCATAGTGATCCTCATATTCATCCTCTGGACAGTAACAGCCGCTGTCACAAGTCATGTTAGATTCCTGGAAAAAATTTAAAAACTCGTTATATTTGTCAAATAAATAAATAAAAATAATAAAAAGAAAAGGTTTATTAAATATGCAATTTAAGCCAGAAACTGTAGGATAGATGATCCTTTGTAAAGGGTCGTTTACCAAGGTGTGTGAGACTGGTGTGTGTCTACAGCAGTGAGTTTCTATTCCTGTTGAGTTTATAATTTTTACAGATTTCTAGGTGTAGATGGGATGGTGGTTTGGAGGATTTCACCTATGCTTTGATTCAATTCAGAAGATAATAAATTAACTATACGAACACTGACATGCCATTCAATATAGAGATGATACCCACCAAAGTTTTGCCGAAGCTGTCACAGGTTTTCTGAGCCGTGTTCATCTGGTACTCTGAACACTGAACACAAATCTTCCCGTTCCTGCAACCTGGTGCTTGCCAGGTTAATAAATTAAATTAGAAAAAAGCACAACAAATTACATTGATGTTCCTTTAAATAAATATAGCTAAAAACAAAAATAAGTTAAGTGATCCTAAATAAACTAAACCAAAGGGAGCAAAGCTACATGAGCAAGAACGTAGCTGCACTAAAATAAACCACAGCTATAGCTCAACTAAAATTAAGTGTGAATAACCCTAAAATCAATTCAGTTCAATAAAATATTTTCTGTAATGATTTGCTATTGTTGAATTACTGTCTTGGGGTCAGGGTTGTCCATCATGTGTTTTATTTGATGAAGCTTTTTCCACTCTAGAGGCTCTAGGGCTGGAATTATTTTAGTTCATTAAACAAAAGGTGGCAACAAAAAGCAGGAGTTTGTGTTCTTTGTCTAAAGGACAAGTCATTTGGAGTAGTTGTCCGTTTCCTATGTAACTAACCTGAACTACATTTTGTTGTGTACCACTAGGGGGCAGTAAAGGAGAGAAGGAGTGAGAAACCCAATCCCAATAGGGAGCCTAAGTCACTTGTGCATCATGGGTCCCCGGAAAAAACGACAAAATGAATGCAAGTCAACGGGGCTAAAAACGCTCTTTTCTAATCCGCTTGCCTTACGCCCTGGATTGTACATATGTTGTACTGCAGTTTAAATGAGAACTATTGATGGGTGTTTCGACCATGCCATTCATGTACTTTGAGGTTTTTTTTTTTAGATTGTAAAAGTCCGTAATTAGCATGACATCAAACTAGAAATCTGCATGTTGCATATATGACGTCACCACATAATCTCCTCTCCCTTAAAGTAGCTGCTACTTACCAAATGACCAGATTTATGGTGGTTCTTTCCTCCTGTGTAAAGTTTGCTGAACTTACAGTCCTTTTCACTCAGTTTTCTTCGTGTGTGGGTCGATGACATCACTTTCGTGAAGCACATTTGTAGTCCTGGACTCATTTTCACACAAAACCTAAAAATCGTGTCCGCTCAAGGCTGCTAGGGCATCAGATTCGGACAAGACTTTGGGTCAGGCTGAGAATTTTCCTCTCTGCCTTCAGTCTTTAAACAGATCATTCCAGTCCTTCAGTGAAGCCAATTTGGGTTTTTAAACTTGTCCATACTGTCCGGTGACCCTCTCCGAGATGACATCCATGTTGCGCACTAATACCGGTATCGCAGCTAGAACATTGTCCAGCTTACGATTCACCTGGAGTAACGTCCCACTCTGAGAGGTCTCCACACGGACGGTGCTTTCCGTGGGTGCGGGTCGCCCTCCAATCGCTCCCGTCTTCCCAAATTTCCAGAAAACCAGATGACCTCCCACTCCAATCAGGAGAAATCCAGTGATCATCAGGCCGAATATCCACACGTCTTCGACATCCTCAATGGACAGCTGGGAGAGGCATATGATCTTCCATTCCCTCCAGGAATCCAGCATATACCCCACCGGGTGTGTCACCTGTGGGCATGTGGGAGCCCCCTGCTCCGTTCTCATTGTTGAAAAAATCTTATCGCGTTAAATGACCAATTTATCAAATCCATGGTTGAAAATAGGGTTTTTCAGAAGAAATGCAGAGAAGCGCTCTGTGGGCAGACAGGACAAAGAGCCTTGGGGGAAAAAAGATAAGGGAGCGAAAAGAGAAGAGTCTGTACTCTGCGAGTGCCAGGAAGTTGCAAGCAGAATTAGAAAAAAGCATTTTTAGCCCCATTGGCTTGCATTCATTTTTTCGTTCTTCCAGGGACCCATGGTGCAGAAGTGGCTTAGGCTCCCCATAGCAAAGTGCACTTGGAGAAATTGCGCAGTAAGGTTTTGCATGTGTGGTACACAAGAGTGTGCATAATTGCTGAATTGAGACAGGGTGCATCGTGTCATCGATCACAACGCTTGTCGTGATGCTGGTTGCTGTGATACTTAAAAAAAAAAAAAACTTTAACAACTTTAAAACAACCAAACAATTATTTGAGATAAATTTGCAATCATTGCGGTTTTGTCTAAAAGTTTCTGAGCATCAACCATCCTAAAATGAACTACTTTCATTAGAAAATACATATTTTCAGAAAGGGCAATTGATCCTTTTCTCCCGCAGCAATGAACTGTGGGTAATACCCTTTGCCCAAGTCTGCATCGATGCACACTTGGGTTTAGTGCAGATCAATGGTGTAAAAGGGGCGTGATTAAACTACCACACTTGATAAACGGGAGACCTTACGTACTCACTCTTGGTCGGGATTGCAAAATTGAGGTGTGGAAGTGTGAATATTGGGATTGGGCCTAAAATGGATGCCTCACAGCTACATGTGACAAATTGAACAAAGCTTGGAAAAAGAATTCTTGCTTACTCATGCTACTTCTGTTACATTGACTGACCATAGCAAGTTTGCTGAAGAGTTTGCTACTTTGCTGACAGTCACAAAACAAAATAGATAACCTACCACAGTCCTTGGAGCAGCGCAGCTTTCCATCCTCACACAGGCTTTAGAGAGAACAACAAAACTCATCTTCATGATTTAAATCAATAATTTTAAATCACTAACAACACCTGAGACGTAGTTGGCTTTCTGCAGAAATTAGCTTGTCAGTATCTGGCGCTTCCAGTTGAACTTACCACTGTTGTCCACTGATGACCACAGGTCCTGGTGGTGCAATCCCACCGCTGTGATAACACACACACTGTGACTTTGGGGTGCAGATTTTTCCATAGTTCAGGTACGTTCCCTCTGGACAGCCACAACCTTCCACTGGCATGTCTTCTAACTCGGGGAGAGTTTCAAATGTGGATAGGTAATGGCACGTACGGTTATAGTTCTGAGTTTCGTAGGAGAACTCCTGGTTCTTTAGGCACTTGACAGCTTTAACACACAAAAAAAAAAAAGACTTTGTTTTTCCTTTACTACATTTTGTGTTTAGGCTGTTGCTGCTTACGTACATCTAGTTTTGATGCTTGAAAGTAAACTGTAGATAGTCAGATCATTTAGTATTTTTGGTATTAAGCATTAGTAAGCATCCCTTTCATTTTAGATGAATATTTATTTAGGATGAACTCACTACAGTTGGTAGTCGTTCTCCAGTCACCCATTACAACACCCAGACTGGCACAGGCTTTGGAATAACTTCCAAGAGAAGCGCAGAAACATTGCATCATATCGTTGCCACAGTTACAGGTCCTTGAGATGCATTCCTAGAAAGAGTTAAAGAAAACAAGTTTCTCATTAATATAATGCTTTACTGTAAGATTAAGTGGCTTTTAGTTAGCAAGTGGGTGGTTCTTACTTGGAGGTATTGGTCAGTTGGGACATAATTATGACATTTAGCAAATATTCCAGTAGGATTACTCAACGCAGAGCACTTTTCATCTGCAAATATTTCTGCAAAAATCAAACAGTTTATTCATGCTGGTAAAACCAAGTTGTACTTTTCTTTGTAAAGTGGGACAGTCATAAGCTAACGTGTGCCGATTTAACCTGATGTGCAGAAATAATCCTTGAACTCTACCGTTGTCTGTGCTGATGCAGGGCTTCGGAATGTTCTCGGAACAAGAACCCCAACTCCAAGACAAGGCAAAAAGTTTGGCCGAGTTCTCGATGATGCCGCTGCTGGTGGTGAAGTCGTCTGTAGTGTCTCCATTTTTGTTGCCACAAAGACCTTAAAGACACCACAACTGTGACTATGAATCAAACTGACTTATGATTTTTCAGGGATAAACAGAGATTGAGTTGTTTATTCTTGGTACCGGTTGACCAAAGAATTGCCTTTTAGTTTTGCGTTATCGTAGGCAGAGCTCCGAACCTGAGAGCTTGTCTGCTCCAGCTGTTGGGGGTGTGATGTACAGCTGGATATCCGGAAACACCTGGACTTGGATCTTCAAACCAAAGGATGTAACCACTTGAACAAACATCGAGGATTGCCAGAAAACTAGAGTAACATCTGTCAGATAAGAGATTTTTAGGTCACATTTCTGGCAGATTACAGCTATGACAAAAGTTTCTGAGAGTGACACAAGTTTGGATTTTCACTGCTTTGTCGTTTTTAGATCATTTTGTCAGACGTTTCTATATTATAATAAAGTCTAATTGCAAATGGTTAATACCAAAGTGTCAAACTGTTATTGAGGTTTTACTTGGAAAAGTGTCTTCTATGCTACCAGGGATGACACTGGTATTGAAAGACAAGGGGGTCTTAGCTCCTAGGAAGGAAGGAATGCATATTAAAGGTTAAAACAATGAAAACCTGAACAAGCTTTTTTAATTTTGTTCTTTCATGTTAATGTGATTTTATTTCACTGGCTTCTCCAAAAGTCCCCCACATTTGGCTTTCTCATTTAGGGTTTCTACCTTTCATTTACACACCCAGTATTAAATAAATTGGCATATAGAATGTATTATAGTGTCATAATTATTATATTTTGAGGGGGGCTTGGTATCATTTTGTGGGGGCCCACCCAAAATAGGCCTAATCTCGTCCATGTTTTGCCACCATTCTTGACAGCAGACCATCCTCTAATGTTTTGGCCTTTGTCTCCAGGTGAAGGAGATGGTCCTGGTGGATGGTCTTGGGCTCCCCAATACCCTTTTCAAAGATGTAAAAAAAATGTAGGGGTGGGGGGAGGAAGATTATGTTAATTTTCACAGTGAAAAGGGAATGCTAATTACCTGTAATTTATCTGATCACTTAATAGAACATTCTGGACTTCACACAAGTTTCCGTCATGAACAAAGGCAGCTGATTTTATGGCAATAGGAGCTTGTGTCATTCTCAGAACATGTGACCACAGCTTGTAGCCCATTCTGAAGCATGTTGCAATGCTAAATGGTAGAAATGGTTTTAAAAATTCTTACCAGATTGATGAAGCACATTGATTTCATGGTCTCCAAGTTTTACTGTTTTTTGCATGAATGTAAAGATTTCCTGAAAGTTCCAAGTAGATTACATATGCATTATCAAATTACCATTGATTTTGATAGCTTAAGGCAATCACTGAGGGTATTTTTACCTGAAGGACCTGCAACGTTACGATTTTAATAGAAGCTTCCTTATCAAAAAATTCTATTTTTATAGACCAATCAGGACCCTGCAAATTGTTAGAAAAAAGAAAATTAACATAACAGACAAAAGGAAATAAAATTCACTTTAACAAAAAAGTGTACCTGTGAGGCCATGTATGTGCATTTGCCAGGAATGGTGTACTGTTTTCCATCGTATGTTGTTACAAACTGTCCTTCAATCATGCATCTGTTAGAGCAGTAGTTCTCAGAGCAATTCCACCTTCCATCCTCACATAAACTGGAAAGAAAAAAATAAAATTCAAATAGAAAAATCATCTCAATAAGATTTAGTTTTTACAACATAATACAATCATATATTTTCTTACAGTTAGATTGTGTAAGAACTAAAAAAATTGATTAAATTAAATAAGCCACAGGTAAGCTGTCTATGTGGAGTGCAATAAAAGGAGCATTAAGAGTGAGAATCAGAAGGCCGAGGGAAAGGGTGTGGAGGTGAAGAAGTTGGAGGAAGAGGACAAGGAGGAGCAAGAAGACAAGGAGAGGAAAGAGGAAGGGTAGGAAGAAATAGAATAACTGATGACATCAGGGCTACAAAAGTGGACAATGTCAACCATGGGATGACCCAGAGGGAAGCTGGCCAACGGGTTCGGCCTAATTTGAGCCACTACACTGTGGCAAGCATCATTAGGACATTTTGAAATTCGGTAAGTACTTTGTCGCACTGCCGTACTCTAAACGCTGCCATACTCTAATAAGAAACGCTACAGTACCATACATGCAAAAATACTGAAATTGTTACTTTACAGAACTGCTAGACATCCAGATGTTGGGCAGAGGAAGAATGTTAACTCCAGAGCAAGAGACCCATATAGTGAACATGGTGATTGCCAATAATGCAATAAGACTGCAAAATACAGCAGCGCATAATTGATAGACCATCTTTCAAAAGTATACACAGTGCAAGCATTTCTGCACTCAGTCGTGTACTTGCGCGCCACAGAATAAAAATGAAGCAAATTTACAGAGTTCCTTTCGACAGAAACAGAACGTGTAAAACAACTGCGATATGACTATGTGCAGGTAAGCTATAGTGTCATTGGTTCTGAATTTGGAAGTGCATACTGTAGTGCTGTGCATGGGCTTGATGTGTTGCATTCGTTTCGTATTGTCCAGAGAGTGATGGAACCAGAAGCAGATGCCACAGGACAGGAGCTACCTTTTGTAGATGAGGCTGGTTTTAACCTCAATAAAACCAGGAGACATGGCAAGAACATTATTGGGCACCGTGCCATCATCAGTGTCCCAGGACAATGTGGTGGTAACATAACCATGTGTGCAGCTGTAAGCCAAAAGGGTGTTGTTCACCATCATGCCACCATAGGCCCTTACAACACTGCACACATTATTGCATTCCTGGACACCTTACATGACATGCTCTCTGTTCAAACACCAGAGCATACCCGATATGTCACCATATGGGACAATGTTAGTTTCCTTAGGGCTGCTTCCATAGGGCTGCTTTGGCCCGCAACTGGTTTACAGACCACCCATCCTTCATGGTACTCAACCTCCCTTCATTCTTACATTTTTTTTTCTGATTGCTTAGTGTATGACCGTCATCCTCATCAACAGGTAGCCCTTTTACAGGCAATGGAGGAGGCATGTAGAGATATTGACCAGGCATCATACGGTATTCAAGGAGATATTTTCCCCCGGTGCCTTGAACTGGAGGATATCGCATGTGATGTGGACAAAATTGTGTGGCAGGACCCAGAAAGACGACATGATGTAGACTGTCTATTTTGCCTTTTTTTTTTTGTAAAACGACTATTTTGTTGTCTGACTTTGTCTTGGTTTTGATGAGTGTGAATAAACACCAATACTTGAAGTTTGGATCCTTATGTTTACATGCCATTAACAAAATTATGACCTCAAATTGACATCTGTACACGGAAAGCAAAAGCCAGATGTGTTTTGTATTCATATCAGTGTGCAGTTGGCACATTGTGTGCCTAGTTGACGATGGCTTGTGTGTACTGTTAGATTATCAAGAGAACTAAAATGTTTTGATAACTGGGTGAAAGGTTCTTATTTGTGTGTAGAGTTGAGCAAAAATAGCCAATAGTTACAAAAAATGTGCTAAATCAGAAAAAACTAAAAATGTCAACTTCACAGCAGAAATAAACATGTTTACAGCCTGGTTTAACATTTTAGGTTAATTAGGTCAAGTTTATCTTGACAATGCTGATGTAAATGTTGAAATGATTAATATGTAGGGGTATGTCAATTTGATTGACAGGTAGCAGATGAGCCGCCATTGCTATAGCGCTAGCAGCCTGCCCCCATGCTTGATCCAGGGGAGGCCTCAGCCTTGACCTCACATTAAGTGTTACAGCCTAGGCAGAAGGTAGCAGAATTGCTCAACCATGGTTTACAGGCTGAAAGCACTTTTCAACTTCCATTAGCTTTGATTGGATCAATTAGCTCATAGCTAAATCGTCTCAGAATTTGTTGGGTGTCAACTATCTGCCCCCACCCTCACAGCCCCTTTCTGCAGCTCCAATTCTGTATTTTCTGGCTGGCCAAGATGTCGGCCTTGGAAACCACCTATATGGGCTTCAGCTCAGTTCCTCAGAGAGCTATGGATGATGGCACAAATAGCTTTTCTGTTATATATGTACAGTCATTGATTTAAACTAACAATTTTTATTCATCTGAATTACTACAAAACTTAGATTAAACCATTCATATACAATCAACATTTTTGAGAATAAAGCAATATATTATAGCCATTTAACCACAAAATGGCAATATACAGTTAAGCTAAAAGTTGGACTATAATTACCAGAGAAGTGATTAAGTCACTGCTTTGCAAGTCGTAAGTCACAAGTATTTCCAGTCAAGTCCAAGTCAAAGACAACCAAGTCCAAGTAGAGTCCAAAGTCAGTGATGTGGAAGTCATACTCAAGTCCAGGGGCCTCGTTTATCAAGCTTGCTTACGCACAAAACAGGGTCGGAAAACTGCGTAAGCAACTTTCCACGCAAATTTTGGGATTCATGAAAGAACTTGGCAGAAAAATGTGCGCAACTTTAAGTTGACTAAGGACCTTGCTTACGCACATTTTGGACATGGAGAGCACCTGCAGTGCTGCAGCTGAGAAGGATACAATTATGAAATCCTGCAGCATTATCACTTTTACTGCTTCGCTTCACACGGAGCAAGATCCCTATTGGACCACTTTTTTATGTCCGCCACAGATCTCTCTGAAGAATTCACAACATTGACGGCTTCAGCAACGTTGTGCCACTCTGTGGATTTTCTCTTGTTTTGAAAATAGCACTTCCTTTCATTTCTCCACCTCACCCACAAGTACCTCAATTTCTGCTTCTGTGAAATTGCGCTTCCTTGATCTGCGTTGATCTACGGTCGCCATGTCTTTGGCGGAGCGCTGCAACAGCAGGCTTATGTATATGCATGAGATCCACAAGGCACTTTGCATTGACCATTTATGGCAGTAAGTGGCCATGGTGACGGCGGGATGTGACTAAAGCAGCTGAGAAACTTTCTAGATAGTTTGATTTATGAAGCAGAGATTGTGTGCAGCTGTGCGTATTCCTTGTGTGCAGCTGTGCGTATTCCTTGTTTGATAGATCACAAACCTACTTGGCGTAAGTACATTTTTTTGCTGAGCTTAAGTACGGTTTTAGTAAGGATTCTATGCAATGTTTGATAAATGAGACCCCAAGTCCTTAACTTTGAATTTTCAAGTCACTATCAAGTCATCTGTCCATCTTCAATTTAATGAGAATGATAATACATTCCAGAAATAAAGGTTCTTAAAGCTTAATTTATTTGCTCAAACAAGCAGAAAGTGCAACTGAATTAGATTATAAACAAAGAGCTGCTGCATTTAGCAGTACAAGACCAAACCCAGAACAAAGAATGATTTATGATATTAATCCATGTCGTGCTACTTTTGTGCCTTAAATATCAAATATGCTCTAGTCATCATCAAGTCAACAGATGCAAGTTGATTCAAGTCGCAAGCCATTGGTGTTCAAGTCTGAGTCAAGTCTTAATTCTTTATAGAATTTATCAAGTCAATTCAAAGTCATTAAAATCATGACTCTAGTCCAAGTCGTGTGACTCGAGTCCACACCTCTGATAATTTTAGAGGGGCTCTTTATTAGTAAATTTTGGCCCATTTAATCCTGCTCAGGGTGAGGGATTGATACTGAACATAACCATAAACTAAGTACCAGATTTTTAATACAACTAAAAGTAAAAATTTGTAAAGACATTCACACTTTAAAAGGAATTTTTTTTTTTAGGTTTTTATGGACATTTGTCAGGGTTTTCCACAATATTTATCTGTATCTGTAATTTAAAGGTTTGATTTCTGTAACTCAACTGAAAACCTCTGGGAAACTCACCATGACTGACAGCTGCTGTCACGTACATCTCTTGGTAAGTAGGTCTCATTCCTGAACACACAGGGGCACGTGGACATGTTCACACATTGGTATCCATCTGCATGATCATTCAGCACCTTTCCTGCAAAATTGTTCAGCAAATCTGTCACAATCAGGCTCACTAACAGGCAAATAACAGCAGAGAGACAATGTGTAGTTTTTACCATTAATTTCTGGAAATGTCCATCAAAATGTTGTTGAAAATGAATGAAATGATGCCCAGTTGTTGAAAAGTATTGGCAGCTTCATAACAAATAATAAAAATCAGGTCTAAAATACATAGAAGTCTAAGGGTGTTTCTCAATGTCAAGGCACCTTGCCTTGCAAGGCGATGTCTTGCGAGGCCAGATGCCTTGCTCTCAAGGACACTGTCCTTCCTTGGTCAAAGAAAACTGTTAAATGGAACAGACTTGCATAACGTGACCGCGGCTTCCACGGCGGTAACGTAACGTCACGTGACACAGAGACAACGTTATATTTCATATGTATTAGTTTCAATATACATTTATAACGATCCTTTTAAATTGTGTATATATTTGTTAAATTAAAAATATGAGTTACTACCCGCTAGCCACCGAAGCTGCAACTACTAAGCAACTAACCAACAATAGATAACTTCTTTGGATAAAAAAAAAAACATTTAAAATTAGCTGACTTTTTAACTTGAAAAATTGTCCCCGAAGTAGCTGCTGGCTTCTGATCCGCAGTCTTTTTGAAAATACCGCGGTGTATTGTGGGTAATTTTTGACCAAGGCTAGGCTACAAGACACCTCCCATGTGTCCTTGCTCAGCTAGCTAAACGGCTAACAAACGGAGAACACATGCCTCGGTAGATCATGAACATTGGAACACTTCTTGGCAGCTCCAGATGACGTATCTCCTAGGCAACCAGGGCAGGGCCAAGACATCAAGGCAAGGTTCCTTGACATTGAGAAACACCCCCTAAGTCTATGCCATATTAGATGCCATGTTTCCTTCTACAGGAGCTCATGAGGACAAAATGCATTTACTGATTTGTAACAAACGGTTACAAAATTTTCCATCATTCTTAAATGTTGTTGTTTCACACATTTACCTCTTCACTTGTTAACGGTGATGAAAGGGAGTCTGATGTGCTATTTTGCTAATGTTTGCATTCCCCAGGGTTTTTTGACCCTAATCAGTTGGTAAAGTCTTACTCAAACACAAAAATACTGCTTGCAACAATTTAGGCATCTACTGCCCCCATCGCCAGGAAAAATACACACGGTCACTTTAACGTTACTGGCTCTCACCCGTTGGGCAGACACAGGAACTGGTGTCCCCTAGGCTGGGGCACCTGGGATTTGGGTATGAGCAGCTTGGAATAAAGGCAGGACCGACATCTACATAAAGCAGGTCTCCAGGACACGTTGGTGGAGCTGCAAACAAATGGACAGAAGCATCAAATATTAGAATTAAGACTTGTGGCCATTTGGACTCCAAACCTTTTAGGACATTCACCTACCACAGTTGGTTAAAATTCTCCATACATTCCAAATATGGCTGCTTTTTCCACACATCAGGACAACCTCTTGGAAGAAAGCGCAGGAAATATCGCTGCTGTCCTGGAAGCCGTAAACATTCTTCTCACAGAGTTTGATGTAATGTATTATTTCGTTTGTCAGACAATCCACCGCTTGTGAAAAGAACTCCCTGCACAGCTGGAAATATCAGGACAGTGTGAATGAGGCCCGTTTTCTCTTCTTCTAAGGTTGGATCGCAACAGTTGTCTTACTAGATTGGAAGCAGGAAAGACATCTCGAGTTTGACATGTGTCCTGAGAAAGGACATTATCTGGAATCAGCTGCTGTTTGCGTTCTGTATGAATGAACAACAAAGCAAAAACCAGAATCAATGCAGTCCACGAGTTGTGACTCATGTCTACGTTTAGCATCAGAGACCAAAAAAAAAATTAACAAGTTTTTAAAAAGTAAATAAACTCTTCCCTACATGAAATAATCCCAATTGTATCATTTTATGCCATTTTATTAACTCTTACTTGTTTGATTAGTAAATCCCTCAAACATCTATGAAAATCATCTACATCTCCTCTGCCCTCTAACGGAGAATGTTATTACAGGTGCAAAAGCAAACTAATGCCATTACCTCATGGTTTGTCAAGTCAAGTTTGGGAGGAGCAGTAGGAACCATCAGGAAGGAACATGATTCAAGCAACTACTGGGACTTTAAAAGGGAAGGTCAGCAGTGTGTGTGTGTGTGTGTGTGTGTCTTAACATCAGAAAGACAGCAATTTAACCAAAGTGTTTGTATTCAGTGGGAAACCCCCCCTAAATGATTAATATTTGTATCCCAGAGAGGCAGCTGGTAAGATACACTTTAAAAAATAAAATGTGCGTACATCAACTGCTGCTTCTATGTGTGTTTGTGATGTCACTTAGCTGAACAGGGAGGGCATGGCCCGAAATGTTTCTTAGGTGCTGTTTGATGGGGAAATTTTTCAGCTTATGTGTGCATTATTAATTGGTTTTGCTAATATTTAGATATTACAGATGACCACTTGGCTTGCATTGTTGATTCACGGTACAGGATTATGTCATGGGTGATTCGATTCACAAGTAAACAAAGTTAAAGGAACATTAGGTTCTGCTGCAAATGTTTTAGGATGAAGAGTGAGTTTTTATCTGTATTGTTGGATGATTACCGATTATTGCATCAACTGCTCAAAGCCCTGATTTATTTAATGGTTTTTCACCTACTGCTCCCACTACCGTCACCGCTATAGCATGGACAAATAAATGGTGAAACAAGCAGACATTGCCTGGTGGTGTCCGTCAACTCTGGGATTTTAGAGGGGAAAAACTTAATGGGACATGATTATTATACAATAACTTTAAAAACAATTTAATGACAAATGGAGATTTCTCAATATTATTTAATGTAATAGGCTAATATGCACTAATCTACATTTGCACTATTACTACTTGAGAAATCAATTTGATCTTTCAAGAGCTAAAAATATTATTTCATGTTTAAGACATGTTCTTCAAGCTTTAATATAACATGTGATCTAATGTTTTTGTTTTTCAAAACTTTTAGCAAAGCAACACTTTTGTGTTTAGCAAGAAATCAATCTGGTTTAATAGAAAAATGACTTGCCGTGATGGAAATTTGTATTTTATTTTAAAATGAACAAAGACAATTTCATAAAGAATAAAAAACTAAGAATCTTTTCAGTGGGACTGTTACAGTTGTTTAAATGTTTATAGATCAAGTAATATAGTAATGGTAATATCTTCCATCTAGTTTTTTAAGTTATAAAACATCCCAACATACACATTTTTCTGTAATAATCCAAATAAATGGATTCCATTCATCAGCGTGCTTTAACTGGGTGACCCAGTCTGGGTCTGATGAAATGAGTAGAGGTCCAGGTTATTGAAGTAAATCCCATAACTCTGTATAATTTAGATGGCTTACCTGAGTCTTGTTTGGCACACAGTCCAGTCAGGTCAGGGCTCAGCTCTTGCTCCAGATCCACCTTTATAATAAATCATGCAGATACATGAATGGTTACACAACACTACCATTCAGTTGTGAACAGAGTGTTGATATAAAGTTAGACAGTCCTTAGCATTTCATAAAATGTAAAAAATAAAAATTAAAAACAGGATTATCTCAATTAGCTTTCAGGTTCCAGACCCATGTCTTGACGGACGGAACTTACGTGCACACTTTTTTTTAAATGAGATCAGGGTTGAGATGTTTTTGTTTCCTGTATTGCAAATTTCCATGTTTGATTAAAATCTAACACAGCATGATAGCACAAACTTCTTCTACCAGCTGCCAGGACGGCAATAGAAGGCTAACGATTTGAGCTTTTCTTTGCAGACGTTAGTCTTGAACACCTTGGAGATATTGAGTAGAGTATAAACTCGTCTTTTTACTCAAGTATTCTATAAAATCATTCAGCTGGAAAATGATCTAAAAAATGATCAGATGAAATAATTTAGGTGTCATGGCGTGGTTAAAGTCCAACCACTGACCTTTAGGAGAGCTGTGAACCCTAATGGACTTACACAGCTGTAAAGAAAACACTGTGGGGGACTGATAAGGTCATGAGATGATTACTTCTCAGAAGTCATTCTAAAAGGTGATTCTAAATGCCACAGAACCATTTTTCCCTTCACAAAGTTTTGCAAAAACAATAGAAATGTATCATATGATGAATGTTGGATGTTTCAAAGTCAAGACTTTTTAAGAACCATACGATTAATGTTTGTGCATATTTAGCCCTCTCACCCAGAGCCTGTCGATTCCTCCACTGACATTGTTCCAGGTGACTGACAGAGGAAGCAAGGAGCTCTTCAGTCTGGTGTAGATGCCATAATGGAATATGTGCTGGTAAGTTTGATCGTATGGAAGAGAAATTCTGTCAACAAAGAGTAAAACAGTTCATGTAGATGCTTCCTCATCTTTGGTAAAAAGTTAAGGGCATTATTTACGCTTATCAAAACATCCCAACCCTGGATTTCACCTTGAAAAACATGGCCTCAAGCTCCTGTTGCATTTGCCCAACTCTTAAACAATCAATAACACGTCTTCTCCGAGTGTCAAAGCCAATTATCAACCGCACATGTCGCAAACGTTTCTGGGAGAATTTGGAGAAGATCCTTGATCAGCCAGGTCAAGGTCATCCTTAGTGCATAAACTGTAGGCAATCGGAAGTCATTCATTGGTGGTGGACAGAGTTCTTTAGTTCTGATTGGTTTTCTGAGCTCTTGTTCAGAAATTCCCACTGACCCTCCTCTGCCCATTCCATGGGTTGCTGGGCTTTTAGGGTCCTGTGATGGGTTTACTTACCCGATTATGCGAGATATTGTTGTTACGTGTTGGAGGTGCATCGGATTGTGAAACTGTCGAGGTGGTGAGACCATCTTCTTCAATCTCTCTGGGTGTTTGTGTTTTCAAAATGAGGATAAATTAAAGTATACAATACTGCTTTCAAATAAATTGGCCTCAAACTGTATTTATAAAAGAACTTTTATGAACAAGTAGCATTCTGTACAGCTCTTAGAGTTCTGTGCCAATTAAAGTTTAGAATTTGAGAGCTGAAACATAAAAAAGTCACAATTCAGATTTTAGACAAAACGCCAAACCTGTCGTTCTTCTCCACCATGATGCTTCCATCCTGCAGAACAGTCTTGACTTTGTTGATGATGATCTCAACCAGAGTCAGAAAGCCATTCTTCCCTCTCTGTATGGTGATGTCACACTCCACCCGGTTGTAGGTGAAGTGGATGAAAGTGAAGGGGCAGTCAGAGCGTACGTAGAAAGACGAACCATTAAAAGGCTGGAAGACACCGCTGCCGAATGTCCTGCAAGTGTCTGATCACAATCAGAACAACATGTGTCCAGAGACGAAGCAAGAAGTGGTCAGAAATTAGGTCGAGATCAGTGAAATACACCTGGGAAACACTTCATTCTGCTTTACCTCAAACGTACGTATACTTACATTTCTGAGATTCTGCTGTTGTCACAGTTTCACTCACTGAGACCACTACAACACAAAACACAAGTGTTTTCAGTGTAGACAGATCATTTGTTCATTCATTGGATCATACACTGTAAAACCTGAGCTGGTAAACTTCAAATCCCAACTTTTCAAAAACAAAATTTCTTGTTAAATTCTACTCACACATTTGCCTCCAAGTTTAATAAAAATTGTTCATCACGCCAACTCAAAATATTCCCACTTGCATCCATTAAAGTTTCACATTTTCAGGCGATCAATTAACAGAACTTAAAATAACAAACTGGATACAATATGCAATGATTGGATCTTGTTCATATATTGCATTTTCGTATCACAGAGTGTTTATTTTCTTTGCATTAAATAATTTTTCAAATGCATACCTGAGGCCAAGTAAAGGCACACAGCCAGCAGCCATCGCTGAGATCCCATGGTAGATGATGCTTACTTGCTGCAGGAGAGACCTCTAGGTCAACTGCTCAGCTGCTCCACATCAGGGCCTTTTATAAGTTGCATCCATGCATGCAGTGCCAGAATCAACCCCTCCTGTGCATGAGCATGCCCGTGCACATACCTTTATGTGACCTTTGTCCAAAAACTATTTCCAAGAATCTAAACTGACCAAGACAACAAAGCAGAGACAAGGAAATAAACCCGCCCAACTTTTTCCCCAAAGCAAATCTTAATTATCTCACCACATTCAAGCTTTTCAAAGAAATTTGTCACACCTGTCCTGTCTCCCCACTCTGCTCAGTCCTGTGTCTCCTGATTACTCCCACCTGCCTCTCATGTTCCAATCGCCCAAGCTCCCAGCTCCTCATGTATTTAAACCCTCTCAATTCTATTCAAGTTTATTTATATAGCGCCAAATCACGACAAGAGTCGTCTCAAGGCACTTCACATAATAAACATTCCAATTCAGGTCAGTTCATTCTCTCAGTTGTGTGTCTTGTCAGTTCATTGTTTCCTTGTCCTGTGTGCTCATGATTAAAACTCTGTCTGTCTGTAATGCAGACTACGGATCTGAAGCAGAGATCAAAACTTTAGCCCAGTATTATTCTAAGATTTTAACTTCCTTCTGAAAACTAGTTTGTGCTTTATAAGAGGAGTGGTGTAAAACTGGAGCTGCTCTTTTCAGCTTTTTAGTCTTTCATTTCCTCAAACGAATACTTTTATCATAGATGGTAAACTATATCAGATTATAGTTCCTACCTACCTCATTGGTAAAATATTAAAAGTAAAATATTAAAAGCCTTTCAAAGCACGAAGAAGGATGTTGAGTGCAAACAAACACCAGTCGACCATAAAATATCTGGAAGATTAACAAAAAACAAACAAAAGTGAACAATGAGAGAAAGAGTTTCGAGCAGGATGGAGGAATCAGGATGTAGTTAATCATTTTTTTAGTATTGAAGCAAGAAAACATGAGAAGAAAAGGTCTTTGCTGAAATGTTTTAAAGGGAAAAAAGAGTTTTACACCAGAAACTGATACATTTTTTAATAAAAGATGTAGTGTTAGCCTCAAATCTACTGTCATTTGCCAAAGTAAAATAGGATGTTTATATTAGTCCTGTTGGCTTCATCAGACCATGATCTGGAGCTTTTGCTGGAGCGGTTTGCTGTCAAGTGTGAAGCAGCTGGGAAGAGAATCAGCTCCTCTAAATCCAAGACCATGGTCTTGGGTCAGAAAAAGGTAGCATGCCTTCTTGGGGTCAGGGATGAGGTCCTGCCCTAAGTGGAGAAGTTTATTTTAGGGTTTTGTTCACAAAAGACGGAAGATAAAACACAAGATTAAATAGGTGGATCGGTGCTGCATCTGCAGTGATGCAGGTGTAGTACGGATCTGTTGTGGCGAAGAGAGAGCTGAGCTGGAAGGCAAAGCTCTGGATTTACCAGTCGATCTGTGTTCACAAGCTTTGTGTTGTGGCCGAAGGAACGAGATTGCAGATATAAGCAACCAAAGTTGGTTTTCTCTGCAGGGTGTTTGGGCTCTCCCTTAGAGATAGGGTGAGAAGCCCAGGAGAGGCTCGGAGTAGACCCACTGCTCCTTCACGTTGAGATGAATCAGTTGAGGTGGATCAGGCATCTGGTTAGGATGCCTCCTTGACGCCTCACTGGTAAGGTTTTCAGGCTAAAATAATCACTTCTTCCTGCGTTGTAACAATAAGCAGCTAACTAAACATTACATGAATATTTATATTTAAGGTGACAATATAAAACATAGTTGTTGCAGTTCTACTATCTCAATGCCTGCGATAAGTGTGCCAGGTTTCTACAGTGGGGTGATATTAATATTACATAATGCATTCCATCATTTCAGTGGCACAATGAGATTAAAACAGCTTGACTCTTATTTGACCCAGTCATTCATGGGCCTTCTTCAGTTGTAGGTCCATAGGACGGTGGAGCAGTAACCTGCCTCATAGCTCACCAGCATTTGGATGCTCCTCTACCTCATCTCTAATCATGACAAAAGGATCTGAACAATTACAAGAACGGAGGGCCTAAAACACAAGGCAGTCTGGAACAGGTGATCACGAAGCAGAGGCAGTGTGATCAATTACTGGAAGAAAATAAACCCACAGACAGAAACAGCAGGGGGCGGGGCGGTTTTAGTTGAACGTGTGATACCAAGTGTGTCCTGTAGGAGGCAGCAATTCTCCAGTTTGGAAAAGGAGAACACTGTTTGGTGTCAAGAGAAATCCGAAGAATAAGGAACCCAAACATCATTAATCAGATTTTTACATTAGTCAGTGTCATTAAGTAGAAGAGTAAAACAACAACCATTGTAGAATTGTGCCACTTTGAAATGGTATTTTTATTAATTGTACAACATTAATTAGCGTTTTTGTATATTAGCTCTGTGATTAAAGCGAGACGCAGCAGGCAGAATCCTGACCGCATGACCCTCCGTCTCAACACCACGTTTCCAAAACAATGTTTGTCTGCGTCACGCCGACGCTGGTGATGACGATCTGATCCACTACACTCCTCCCATCTCACCTTTCCTCTCCACTCTTCTCCAACTCTCTCATCAGGACCACGGAGATGTTCTAAACACAGAACCGGAAAACGCACCGCTCCAGCGAGCTCCAAAGCGCTTTCCTCACCTCACTTTTACACATTTTTAAAGGAGGAGATTTTTACAAGTTTTACTTGTTGTTTTTCTCTCTCAAAGAAACAAAAACATCACATCCAACACACGCCCTGCTCTGCTCTCCCATATGTCGCGGAAGCAGGTCGACCATGACTACACCCTCCGTAGTATGAGCAACCTGATGGGCGAGCGCTGGAAGAAAGTCAGCGACGGAGGAGAGCGGAGTCTGATCAAGGCTCCGTCCAGCGCCAGCATCTGCAGCCAGGGCGCTTCCGCCGGAGCCTCCGGGGCTCCAGCCGCCTCCTCGTCCACCAACACTGGGGACCTGGAGAGGGCTGCCCGCAAGCAGTTCCAGCAGGATGTCACACCCGGCTTCGTCTACGTGCTGGCGGTTTTCTCCGCTCTGGGGGGGTTCCTGTTCGGCTACGACACCGGGGTGATCTCGGGGGCGATGCTGATGCTGAAGAGGGAGATGGAGCTGAGCGCCCTGTGGCAGGAGGTGCTCATCTCAAGTACTGTGGCCGCGGCGGCGCTCTCCGCCCTGCTGGGCGGCTTCCTGAACGGGCTCTTCGGGCGCAGAGTGTGCATCCTGTTGGCCAGCTTCTTCTTCACAGTCGGGGGGATTGTTCTGAGCAGCGCTCCGGGGAAAGAGGTTCTCCTGGCCGGGAGGCTGATCGTCGGAGTGGGACTGGGTAAGAAGTCATGGAGCATTAACCCAAAGTTTTTATTTTGTGAGAATAAGTCAGACAAGGGGGGAAACATTATTATATTCATGTGTTATTTATAAACTGCATTTTAACTTAATATAATTATCTGATTGGCAAGTTGGGACATGATCATTTGGATTGCGGATAAAATAAATCTTAATCTAACACAAAGTCAATATTTATAGTCTCAGCTGTGCTACCTCATCTTAAGCATTGCTTGGGTCTACTGGAGAATTTTGTTAGTAAATCCATAATCCTGAGATGATGAGGTGTGTTTCGGGGTGTCTTATTTTGAAGTAGTGAAGGAAGTTATTTGAGTCCCATGGATGCTGCGGCCACAAATAGCAAAAAGACTGCACATTACATTCATTAATGTCTAGTATTTATAGTTTACTCAGTGAAAACACAACCAGAACCCCAATAACATTGAGTTCAGGAGCCCTGTTGAATTAGCTTCCTCCGGCAATTCTTGAAATACATTTTGTATTGTATTGAGTGATTTTATATTTGCATAGATGAGCAACAATATATTAATAAAAATAGAGGAACTGGATGGAAAAACAGAATATAATTAGAAATGAGAATTTATCTGTAGGTTCAAGTTGACAATGGGGCTGGGTGATGATGATGATGATGATGATGATGGTGATGGTGATGGTGATGATGATGCAGAATTTAAACAACAATTTAGTAATCTCCTCCAATATGTTAAACTCCATTATCCCACTAGGACTGTTGATGTCCCTGCAAATTTAAAACCCATGCCCAGGGTTCAGGTGTGAGATACAGACACGTTCTTTTTGGATAGTTGGCTAGAATAAGAGAGTGGCTTGTCTTTGAACCAATCTTATTACTGCAATGAGTGTTGTTAAGGAGTTAACTCAGTTTAATCGATGGAAATTTCATCTGGAGGAACAAGTTTTCAGCAGTTGTGTGAACTTCTTTAGCTATATCAGTTCAAGTCCACTCTTCCTGAACGTATCACCACATATTTAAAAAAAGAGAATGTAAAAAGTTCCTCTCAGGCAGCAGTTTTGGTCGAGTTTCATTTAACAGTCAAAGGAGTTGCGACTTTGCTGTGAGAGAGAAGCTGTGACTGTTCCAGAGAATTCAGTCTCCAACTTTACAGCATCAGTTAAAACAAACAAGCGCAAAGCCTCTGAGAAAACTGCTTTTGTTGTGTTACAGTTTAAGAGTATTACTAGTAATGGCATCTTAATTTTTCTCTCAACATTGTGGCTTTTGCTTGAAACCTTGAGGTTTTTCACAACATTTAGACTTTTTGTAGTTGGTGGTATTAACACCATTTTCTCTTAAACCAGTAAGCAAGCTTCTTTGGTGTGTTCTTGCTGTGGTGAAATTCTAATTCCATCTTTTAGTTCATTTTAAAACACATAATGGTTTTAATTACCTGCAACGCTTTGTTTGCGGCTGCAAACTTCATCAGGCTGATGCTGATGGTGACGTCACTTCCTTCTTTGTTTATCAGCGGGCAGCAGAGGACGTTGTCGCCCTCTGCTGCCCGCTCTCCCCTCTCCGACAATGCAGTCCCATGCGCGATCCAACGAGTAAACTCCATCGTCCCTGTTCATGGTCCCACATCCACGTCTCCTTATCTCGATAGCTTCTTTTATCCATCTTTTGTATTTCTGTTGTTCGGTGTTTATGATCCTTGTGTTGTCCCAGTCCATTATATGGTTCTCTTATGCAGTGATCTGTTATGGCTGACTTCTTTATTGCACTTTCTGCTTCTTCTTTTGCTGCTGTTGTGTGTTTTCGACTTGCCTCTTTCTCGCACTCCTTTCTATGTTGTATTGTTCGTGTGTTGAGTTGGCGTCCGGTTTCTCCTATGTATGTTTTATTGCAGAGTTTACATGGGATTTCGTAAATGACTCCACATTTAAGTCCAGTTGGTATCTCGTCTTTTGGGTGTACTAGTCTGTTTCTAACTGTTGTGTATGGTTTTGTTGGTGTGTTTATGTTGTGTTTTTTCATAGTTGCTCTTATTTTTTCTGTTATGCCTTTGATGTATGGTAAGGTAATCGCTGGTTTTGATTCTTGTCTTTTTGGGTTTCTGGTTCTTTGATTTGGTTGTTTTTTTTCTTTCTGTTGTTGTTTGTTGTTTTCCTTTGTTTATTGCCCATGTCAGGTATCCGCAGGTCATTAATGCGTGTTGTATGTGTTTGTCCTCTTGTTTACGGTCTCTTTCTTCTGTTACCATGTTTGCTCTGTGATATAGTGTTCTGATTACTGACATTTTGTGTATGGTGGGGTGTTCTGATGTCCATAATAAATACTGGTCTGTGTGTGTTGGTTTTCTATATGTGTTTATGTTTAGGGTCCCGTCGGTCTGTCTGGTTATTTTCATGTCTGTAAATGCTATGCTGCCATCTGTTTCTGACTCATATGTGAACTTTATGTTGCCTGTGTTGACAATGTTATTCAAGTGTTGTGTTACCCCGGCTTTCCACGGGAGCCGTCAGCAGCACGTTACTGCAGCAGCACGTCATAGCTGCTGATAGGAACCGCTGTGGTCAACAGAACCTTTTCCACTGGAGCCGTCGGCAGCCGTCAGCAGTGCGAGTCAGCCGCGTCTCAGGAGCAGCATGTCGCGGCCTTTACGCGCCGGTTCTATTTTCTACGCGCGACGCCTCTGAAACGGGTCGAGTTCGACATTTGTGGGGAAGGAAAGACAGGAAATTGGACGCGGAAATGGAGAGAAGCTACCGAGATTTTCAGAATAAAGAACGTACTGCCTTCCGGTTGCTTTACTTTTAAAAAAGGTTACTAACTGTGTGTCCCCGTGAGAAGTTATCACCTAGCTAGCGGTCTCCTTTGTTTTTCAGGTCCGTATTGGCGATTATAAAATGGACAGAACATAAAACACAAACCATGTTGTAGTTTTCTCCTGCTTGTTGTTGTGTTTACTGACGAAGTCACTCGTGTGACTTCGTGCTCTGTCGGTGACAGCTGCTCCCCTGCTGCTTCGTGTCTCGTGGGAAGGGCCAAGCAGCAGCTTGCGCGAGCAACACGTGCTGCTGCAGTAACGTGCTGCTGACGGCTCCCGTGGAAACCCGGGGTTAGTGTTTCTGTTTGTCCTTTTGGTATGATTTCCAGTATGTCGTCTACGTAGCATTTCCATAATTGTATTTTGCAGTTTTGGGGGGGGGGGGGGCAGTGGCTATGGCTTTTTGTTCTAGGTCTTCCATGAAAAACTCGCACGGAGTGGCTGATAATGGGTTACCCATGGCGAAGCCTTCCAGTTGTTTGTATATTGTGTTGTCGTATGTGAAGTAAGTGGAGTTAGCTACCAGTCCTATCAGTTGTGCTATGTCGTCTGCTGTGAGGTTTGTTCCTTTGTGTAAAGTTTTGTCCTGTCTGATTCTGTTAACTACTATGTCTATGGTTTTTTGGGTTGGTGTTTTTGTGAACAGAGATGTGACGTCATGTGAAATGAGTATGTTGTTATCTTCTATTGTAATCTCTTTTAGTTCTTTTGCCAGTTCTATGCTATTTTTGCAGTGTTGATCTGTGTTCCCTAATAACGGACTGATAATTTTTTATTTGAAATCAGGGGTGTGCTTTACGTCCTACTAAAGACTACTACAAATGTATTAAATAAACGAGGACCTCTTCAACAAAAAATTTACCTTTGGTTTTATAAAAATGTTGTAAGTTTATGTTGTGAAGGGCTTCTTTATTATATTCACCTTTAAACACCCATTTAGCGTCACTTATCTGAAAAAAGCTTTATGGATTTTTGTTTTGTTGCTGGTTCTCCTTTTCTTTTTTGTTTGCAATTATTTCCCGTATCTTACAGCAAACTCTGATTTTCTGCCCTGTCATTATTTCAACTGGACCCATTTCGTTATAGCAGGGGTAGGTAACCCTGGTCCTGGAGAGCCACTATCCAGCACGTTTTAGAGGTCGCCCTGCTTCAACAAATTGAATCACCTGTTCAACTGCTCATAAGGCTCTGCAGACCTTTTAATCACCTGCTGATTAAAATCAGGTGTTTTAAGGCAGGGCAACCTCTAAAATGTGCTGGATAGTGGCTCTCCAGGACCAGGGTTCCTTACCCTGTTTCCCACTTGTTTAAATAATGGCTCACGTATTCCTGCATGCTAATACGAAGGCAACTTTAATCAGAGATCAATGTTTCTACTTTTATTTATACTCGTGTTAGATCCTCGGGGGGGAGAAGGTTGTTAAATGGATTTTAAAGGTTCGACTTTCCTTCTCCCCCCTACTCTGAGGATAGTAAACACTGCTCCCAATGAATCTTGGAGGTAATGTGGACCATTTTCTCCTAGTTTGCTTTATTTTTAAATAAATACAAAGCCAAGAAGTTTGCATTTATCTTCTTTCCCACATATTTCAAATACTGTTTCCATAACTCCATATCATTATTCTCAAAAATGAAGGATGATTATTGTGGGATTTTTGTGCTCATCTGGCACTCTTATTGTGTAGCTAGTAGGTAGATGTCAGCATAAGGATAATCTGAATAATTTAAACAGTCTGATTTACATTTTTTATTTATTTACCGGTTTCTTGTGATGAATATAGATGTCGACTGAGTCAAAAACACTTGAATATTTAAGGAAGTCAATAGTGCATGTGGCAGATTGGATTTACTCTCTAATATTTTTGGCTCTTGTTTAGTTAAACTGATGAGTTACAAAAATGTTCTTGACACCTAAAAGGCAGCAGGTAATAACAGGAAACAGCTGTCACCGTGTCTGGTTAAAATGGATTGCATAATTTTGAAGAGTAACTTAGAAAGCTGGGCCTTCGGGCCGCTTTTATACAAACTGCAAAGAAGCTTAATGAAAGGACTCTAGGAAGGGCTGAGTCCTCTCATTTTTAAATAAAAATTTTAATACCAAAGAATAAAATTAAACTCTGAATTTGAGTCATTAAAGGGGCATTATGGAAGTTTAACAGCCAAAACATGTATAGAAATAATACATTTCTTCTTCATA